GGCATCGAGGGGGCGAGGGCCCACCGGGCGTGCGTGCGGCGCGGACGGCGACTGTGCCCGCTGACCGTAACGTGCCTGATGCAGACCCGGCTGCCGTCCACGCCAGCCTGTGGCGGCGGGCGGATGTTTGCACGGGCCTGCTTCACGGGGAGCTGCTTCTCTGACACGCAGAGTCCTGGCCCCACCCCACCGGCAGCGATGGCCGCGCGCTCCGAAGCCGCCTTTCTCACACCACTGGCGCATGCGTGCGGAGCCTGCACAAAGCCCCCGCTGGGCCCCGCTGCCCAGCGCCACGTGCCAGGGGACCGTTAAGGTGACTTGTCCCAAACATTAACTAAGAGCTAAATAATTCCAGGAGCAGCGCTACCCACCCCGTCACGAAGCCGAAAGCCACGAAGGGTTCCGTCACAGCAGCAGCAGCACGTCGCGTCCCTCACACGGGAGCCCGGCCCGCCACAGCCGCGGGCCTGGGAAGGCCTGGCCCAGGGCCGGAGCCGTGCCAGGACGGCCGGTCAGCAACTACGCTGGTGAGCCTCTGGGACTGCGCATCAAGTCACGTGCTCACGTACGAAGAAGACACGTTTAACATCAGAAGACTGACCACCATCTTCCTGTACGGCTCATTTCAACCGAACAGACACTGAGCAGGGAACTGAAACACTGCCGGCAGAGCGACCCCACAGAACCAGCGCGAGGCGTGCAGAACCGCCCGACGCCCAGGAAGCTGCCCCAAGGCACCGTGGGCCCCGCGGCTGGCGCCCATGCTGGCACCGAGACGGCCCAGGGCAGAGCACCCCCCGCCACGCCGCGTCCACACGGACAGCTGGGCTGGGACAGCTCCACGACCGGCCCCCAAGCTGTTTCCCGCCGCCCGTCAGGGACCCACTGCCGCGACACGGGGGCCTCGTCTGTCGCCGGATGCAGCCCCGCACCGGGCCCTAAAGCAGGCGTGAGGGGCCCCGAGCGGGCATCTGAGAGTTTTCTCACCTCAGCGACAACGAACAGGAGCTCTCAAACCTCGGACGTCCAAAGCAGCGTCCAACTCGAGAGCGTGGGCGGGAGAAGCGAGTGTCGTACGGCGCAAGCACAGATCTCAGGACACACATCTGAGCGGCCGCCTGAAATCTCCAGCTTTCGGCCTTGCGGTAAGACGACACCAGCGCCCAGCTGGGGACAGTCACCCAGAAGGGGGAGAGGCGGAGCCCCCGCGGGCTGGTGCTGCTGCCCCGCCTGCGCGCCAGGGCCGACACTCACCCACGAGGATGGCGCCGACGTACACCGGCTGGATGAAGTGGCTCAGCAGGGCGCCCTGCACCCCCAGCACGGCCCAGCGCGTCAGCTTGTCGCTGGCTGACATGCTGCTGACCCGGTTCACGACATCAGCGGGGCAGTGGACGGTCAGGTAGATTTTGCCTTCCACAGCCACGTGCAGACTCAGCTCCTCGTTGGCTTCGAACGCGGATATGGAGTGAGGATTGAGGCGCCTGGGGGGAGAGCCGCTTCAGAGACGGCGCTGCACAAGCGCCTGCACACCTGCCCCGCCCGTGCTCCGAGTGCAGTGTCGGCGCTCGGCACAGGGGTGTCATGGGAGCAGTGGCGAGGGACTGGCCCCTAAACTCACGCCGCACAGAGGTCCTCCCCGTGGACAGCGTCCAGCAGAGACCAACTCGGCTACTGCCGTGCGGGAGCCGCCACGGAGAGGTAACAACATCTCCTAGCGCATTTTACACTACAAAACCGGGGAATGAATTAAAAAAAAATTTTTCATTCAATATTCAGTCCCAACAAAGCGTTAAAATGATGTAACCTCAAATTGATTTTCCTACAGCCTGAGGGGCACGCACTGTGCCCGTTTCAGCGATTCCAACAAAACCCTAACGGGCGTTTTCTAACGGTCAGACCTGCGCTCTGCTCTTCTCTGCATGACTGCCTCGTGAAACCTCACACGGCCACGCTTGGGTGTGTCTTGGCCGAAGGGTGACCCGAAAAGCAAACCGCGTTGCTCAGCTCCTGTGTTAGGCTCTGAGCCGTCAGAATTCCCATCTCCTGAAGTTCGCGATGTCTTGAAGCCAGAAACGAGATGCCCAAGCGCAACGGGGAACGACAAAGAGTGGCCACAGCCCACCGTGGCCTCGGGGCAGGCTGTGGGCGTCTTCGGCCTCAGGGCTGGAGGCGCACGGGGACCACCGTACGGACTCGGACATTCTAGCTGCTTTAAAAGCATAAACTCCTCCATACTCACAACTGCGACTTTATCTGGGCTGACCCTTTCGGCAGCTGGTTCATGTAGAGGTAAATGTTGATATTCTGCTTGAGCGTGAGTAGATCAGAACCGGGTTCGGTACAAAATATTGACTTTTCCATCATAGCAGGATTTCTGCTGTAGAAGAGCAGAAGCTGTCTGTAGAAGTACCTGAAAGAAATCACCCCGGTCTGCTCAAGCCGCCCACTTCACCCGCCGCCCCTCTCGCCACCGGTGGCACTGACAGGGCCCCGCGGCCTACCTCAGCAGGGACCGCCTGGCGGTGACCACGGCGTGCGTGTCATGCAGCACCCGGCCATTGGGCCTGATGCACTGACTGTAGTTGTACTCGCCGGTGCCCACAGCCACCACCTCATGCTGCCCAGCTGGAGGGACGGGACAGCACGTCAGCTGGACCTCCTCTTCCAAGAACACCCTCCTCCTGCACCCAAATCCTACTGCCCCTTCAAGGTTTAGCTAACATCTCACCCTTCCCAGAGACTTAGCCCTATCTGTTCTCTGCCCCAGGCCCGCCCGTGCCTTTTCCTCTGATATAATTTCTCAGTCTTCCTTAGACTTCCAGCAAACTCATAAAACTCCAGAAGCAGCAAATCTCAAACTGCTGCTGTCTCGTCTAATCAATGTATCTTTTTCCTTCTAGGAAAAAAAATTAATTTGAAGAGCATTATGCCTTTTCCCCAGAGGCAGCCATTATTAGGGGTCAGTAAAAAAACAAACATTTTAATGAAAAAGCCAGAACACTAGAGGTGAATAAAAGGCCCAAGGTAGCAGGAATCACATATCTGGAAGAGGAAACACAGTTCTTACCCTAAACTTGCCTCACTGGGAAACGTGCGGCTTTACAGCGCCCGCTTCACGGTCATGGGGACTGGGCGTCGCTGGCACTGCCCACACACCTCTCCCCGCCCTGCAGGCGCCCCCCCCCCCAGCCTTAGAACTCCGACCCGCACTCCTGAGGCCGCTCCGGAGCCAGCGCAGGCTGTCAGCAGGAGCAGGGGCGGTTAACTGAAACACTGAGACTGCTCAGGTCGCCAGGGGTCTCGGGACTCTCCCACAAACTAATACGAGCCAAAAACTCAGACTTACCTCTCTCAATTATAAAAGCAGCCAATGAATTACCACATTTTAGATATTCTGAATTATTGCAAATTAGTTGATCAAATGTTTCTTTGACAATCAGCGAAATCTTTGCATACTGAATGTGTCTCCCTTCTAGGAAAAAAAACATTATTTTGAAGAGGATTATGCCTTTTCCCCAGAGGCAGCTATTATTCTGATTTTGACCTGACGGTGAGATGAGGTAAGACCATACAGGTATCATCTAGGGGAAGTTCTCATCAGCGCCCTGACGGAGACTGAAGGCGCAATGCTAAGCGAACACACGACCTCCTCCCGCAGCACCACCATGTGAGCTGAGCGCGGCTGCAGCAGGGCGGTTGCAGCAGGGCGGTCTGCACAGCCCAGCCTCCCTCAGCTCACAGCGGTCTCCCCGGCCTCGAGGACCGTCCAAACACGCTTCTTTCTGTTGGGGAAAATACGCATTTCCTCAAAATATGAAAAACAGAACTCCACGATTCAGCAATTCCACTTCAGGCACTTATCAAAGAAAACAGAAATGCTAACCCCAAAGACAGCAGCCGCCCCACGCTCACGGCGGCGCCGTTTCCATGCGTCACGCACCGGACTTAAAGGTCCCTGTGGCATACCGCCTTTTCTACCGTCAAAGAAGAAAGCCTGTCATTTGCAACAAGGACAGACCTTGAGGGTATTATGCTAAGTCAGGCAGCAGAAGCAACGGCCACATGAGCTCACATAGCTGTGACATCTGAAACACCCACCGAGCACCCCGCCCCCCCATACCAACCAAAAATCCGCGCTCACGGACACCCTCGACAGATTCGTGCCTGCCAGCGGTAGGGCCAGGGGTGGGCGAGTGGCAGAGAGGGCTAAGCATATCCTGCGCCTGGGTACTGGGTGCCGCTCGTGTCAGTGAGCCTCTTCTCTGCTCCTGTGCTATTGTTGGCCCTGAATTTCTCTGTGGTAACATTGCGAATGCACTTTTCTTGGCAAAAACAGATAAAGTCACAGCATCAAAGAGCAAGAGAACAATCACAAAGCTAACCACAAAATGAAGCTCGGAGGGGAGAGCGCTAACTACTGCTTCTGTTCATTCATCTAACCACAAGCACAGCAGGCGGAGGGGCAAGCTGCAGTTAAACGGCAGCGCATGTTCCTCGGAGAAGACAGCGCCGGGAGCAGAGTCCACTGCTGAGGGGGCGGCGGCAGGCAGGAGGGGCGAGCCGCGCCCTGTGGTCAGCCCTCGCGCTGAAGCGCCCACGGCTTGGCTTAGCTTTGCAGGGCAGCGCCAAGCGGCCGCGCCGCCAGGGAGGGCCCTCGGTGTCGCGCCGTTCAACCGTTTGCTCTTCTGAAACAGGAGTAGAAAGATTTTCATACCGTAATGGACTTTGGAGACATACGCGGGTTCCAGGGAGGCAGCAGGCTCTGCCGGGATAGGCGGGGGGCCTGTAACGAAGCAAGCACGGGGTCAGCGTCCCGGAGGGGCTCCTGCTCCGCGGCAGAGGCTGCAGCTGTCAGCCCAGGCCGCCCAGCAGCCCGAGGTCAGCCCCACAGTCCTGTCTGCATTTCCTGAGCTCACGCGACTGCCGCACAGATGCGACATTGTGAAACGTGGAGTAATTTCAGACGCGTAGGAATAATTTCCTTTTAGCAGTAATACTCTGCAGAACATTGCGAATTAACATCGCAACGTAAGTTGTTAATTTTAATGTGATTTCACCACGCAGTTTCCTAGGGAATTACCACAAAGGTTTCAAAGCTTTAAATTCCAGTCTTTGCAAGGCCTCTTCCAGTTTGGTTCTGAGTTAGCAACTCTGGGAAAAACAAGGCCAGGAGACTAAACCGAGAGCACAAAAACGACGAGGACAGCTTGCACCAAGAGGCTCCAGGCCCAGAGAAAGCGCGAGCTGCCCGGGCTCCGCTTCCACTGGTCCAGGGCGCAGCGGCTCGCGAGACAGCCAGACAGCGCCCCCTCGCGGGCGCACGGCCACAGACGCCGAGCACACTCAGACCCACGGCCTGGGCACCGGCCCCCTAGGGGCCGGAGGACGTCTTTTCCCCTTGACGCAAGTCGCGGGGCTCACGTGGCATGAGAAGCACTGAAGATATTCAGTCCTGCTCACGAGCAATCACAGTGCGACGGTGCGGGCCGGTGTCGACTTTAAAACACCACGTGCAAAGAGGCAAAGAAACCTTGGAAAGGAAGAGCAGGGTCAAGCCACGGGTTCTCATTTCAAAGCCTAGTTCAGAGACAATAACCGAGGGGTCGTGGTGCTGACGCACGGACGCGCAGACCAGGGAGCCCACAGCGCACCCTTGCGCCGGCGTCCACGTCTCCTGACGAGGCCCTACCACACGCGGGCCGCCTCTCCGCACGCAGGCAAGAAGACAGCGCGGGCCCTCCGCTAACACCGCGCCCAGAACGCACTTCTGAGGAGCAAAGGCCCAAACATCAGCGCTGCGCAGATCAGCCGCCGAAGAAACACAGGGAGCTGCCCGGCTGGGCGGGGTTCCTCGGGGAAGGCCCAAACTAGAGGGAGGCTGGCCTGAACGAAGCCGAAGGCTTTCGTGAGCCTCTGGCCGCGACTAGCAGTACCATGCTAATCACACGATGCGTAAGCACACACAGAGCAAGAGGAAAGGACTCATTTCCTACGGGAGCAGCAGGTTGCTCCGCGGCAATCCAAGTGGAATCGGGCAGCCAGTCCGGCTGACAGAAGCTGCACTGCGCCAGCCCACACCCGCGCTGCTGGCGGCGGAGGGTGAAACCCGCACGGTCCTGCCGCGGGAAGGGCTCCCCGCACCAGCAGCCTCGGCAGCAGCCACCTGAGGCCGCCGCCCTCCTTTTCAGAAGCTGAAGTGAGGGCTAGAGGTCAACAGACTTGTGTGTCCAGGGTCACTGTTCCTTTGACCCAGACAACAAGACTCTGGATTCCACGCCTCCCCCACGTGCTAGTCTCTGCTTCAGGCCATTATTTCCTCCAATAATTCTGCCAGCACCGGATTTAACACAGGCAAGCAGCACGCTGCGTCAGACGCCTCCAGGCGCGCGGCGCTCGGTCAGGCCAGGCCTGCAAGTCGCCACGCGTGACAGGTGGCCAGGCAGCTCGACAACCCATCACGCCTCTTCTCGCTGAGGCGGCAGCCACTAAATACCTGAGCAGCCAAGACACGCAGGGGAAGAAGCCTTGCAAGTCCTGCTACCTCCATCTCCTAACTGCCGAGGCGCGGCCATCAACGTAAACTTCCCCGCGCTGCCTCCTGGAAGGTAACGCTCTCTACGAGACGGTGTGGTCCAAGGGCTTTTACCTGCCGTTTCCGAGGCTCTGGGCTCAGGCTCCTCCGGCTGCAGCAGCTCGTCCAGAGCCAGCTTGGCTGCATTGCATCTAGACTCCTTCTTGTTCTGCCCCAGGCCGGTCTTGTACTGGATTCCGTCCACCACGGCACAAAAGGCAAAGTAGGGTCCCATGACGTTACCTTAAAAAGGAACTTGAATGAGCGCGACAGCATATCACAGCGTGAGCTGGCCGAGCTGTCTTGCGTGGGGACAGCCACCCCGTTCACAAATCCTGGAGAACGGTCTCGGCCTACTCGTCTTTCTGCAGGGTGGGCCCGAGCTGGCTGACAAACCCTCCAGCAGCCGGCTGGAGGCACATCTGGGCAAGCAGCAGGGCAGCTGGAAAGAACCCGGGATGTGGCGGCCTGCTGGTCACCTGGCAACGGTAAGCGGAAGCATCCGTCAGCTGACCGGCGGGAGGCGCCACGTGCAGCGTGCGGGACTCGCTCTAGCTTTCAATACCAACGCAGCTGCATGGCTCCCCCGGGGGCCAACGGCCTTACAACTCCAGAAGAGAAGGGGCCCTTGGCGGAAACCCGCGTGCACAGAGTCACGGTAAGCAGCTGGTGGGCGCCAGGGCAGGTGGACGGGGGTTCGCCAGGAAAACCGAAGCGTGAACAGTAAAAAAAAAAAAAAGTCCAAAGAATGAAACTCAATGACCAGTTCTCCACAACTACCTTCACACAGCTCCTTTCTCCTATTTTCACTTATCGAATAAGAACTGAAGTGGAATCAACCCGTAACTTGACGGGACGCAAAGCTTCCCCCTTCTAAGCTTTGCCTGCGGGTACTCAGACCTCAGCCCCGTCTCTGGACGCTCCGGTCAGGGGCGGCCAGGCGCAGTCTCGCCACAGGAGCGCCGGGTCTCGGCGCCTGGCTAGTGTTTTCCAGATTGCATCCAGGGCCCTCAGCAGCTGCGCCTCGCCCAGGCAGGCTGGTCTGGTCTAGCTGCTCCTCTAGGAGCAGCCGGACGCCCACCCAAGTTTACGGCCCAAACTCTCATGTTTCTCCAGGTGATTCTGAGACCCTGCACGCCGGGTTTGTTAGTCAGAGCCTTGCATTAGAGTTGAACCCCGAGTTTCGTCCTCGTTATCCCCCCGGGTCTCAAACCTTCGATCTGACCCCCTGCAGCGCCGGTCAGCGTGCCGACCCTGGCCTCCCCGCCGCACCCAGCCCGTGAGGTCAACTGGCGCCCAGGCAGGCACACACCGCTCATACTCCGTGGGCTGTGGCGTCAAGCAGCTTCGACTCAGGGGAGTGATGCTCTGCCCTGACCAAGTTTTTCTTTTCTTACCAGAAATTAACCCCAGTCTTCCTCACAGTAACGAAGTCACCCTAAAGTGGCAGCACCTGCAACATCCACCTCTGCCCAACAGACCCAGTTTCTGGGCCGGCTGTTTCCTCTAGAGCAGACTAAGACTTGACTTCGTCATATCTCTACTATAACCTCAAAAACTTTAGGTTCTTTCAAGAAGATGCCAACGTGGAGATCGCACGGCAGTTATACCCGGAAACGAAGCCCAACAAGCCCACAGTGGCGAGTGCACACTCAGAAGCGGCGGCGGCGGCGCCCGTTTCTCTGGTGTCCCCTGACTCGCAGCACGATCCTCTTGTCCTCCACTTTCCTCAAGTTCTTCCTAACCACTCGCCATACGGAGACAACACCCGCGCTGCCTCTGGACCCCTGACCCCTTGGCCATCCCCACGCAGCCCTCGGGTGGGTCTCGGGCCACTGAAGAGAGAACGGGGGAAAGCCACAACCAGGCCACGCACAAGGCGCCACTCATCTAAGTGCTGACTTCTCCGCTCACCCGAGTTTCAGGTCGCAGATCTGACCCCCACTTGCGCAGCAGTACTCAGAACCCCGCGGCAAGGTAAACACGGGCCAAGCATTTATTTTTACACCTCAGTAACGCCTGAGGTTTACTGCAACCAGCGTGTAAGAACGTCACGTTCAGTCCTTTGGGAGTCATCAGAGGCTCAGAAGCGAGCGTGCGGGAACTTCTGAAACCGTCTCAGCACGCGCGCGGGGTTCGTCGCCCCAACCTGACGCGTGCGTGGAAGGACGTCCAGCACCGTCCACGACAGGAAGAGACCTCCGGCACTGCTGTAATCGCAGAACTTTTGCACCTGCCTGTGGTCACCGTCTCCTTAAGGTCGAGCTGAACCCGCTGCATTTGCGCAAACTGGTGCAACGCGGACACGGGGTTGATCTCTCCGCGCTTGTACTTCAGTATGAACTCCCTGGGGATCTTCTTTGGAGGAAGGACAGGGTTTGAAACAGATGACAGACTCTTTGAAAGCAACGGTTCTGGAAAATTACCTGAAAATAAAGAAAATAAGTGTTTGTGGTTAGCGACCTGGTACAGTAAGAGTAAAGATCGGCAGGACAAAGCACCCGAAGCTCCCTCCCCTGCCTCACCACAAGCTTCCTCTCAGTGACCTGGCACACAGATGCCAAGCTGCCGCCCCCGCGCAGCTGCGAGGGTCTGAGACAAGAGGCGGGCGTGGGCCTTTGCTAAGTGACGGACTGATAGTGGACCGGGTACCCTGGAGCTTAGGCTGTCACCGGACCCAGCCCCGCCGCCCTTCAGCTCACTTCCACGGACTCTCCGCTCCCGCGGGCTGCTCCACTCTGAGCTCACACTGCGGGAGGGCGCGGCACAAACTGGCCCTGGGGGGCCTGTGGGAACTGTCGCGGGCAGACACTGGCCTGGCAAAGGGGAGCCCTCCCGGGCAGGGGCTGCCGTCCAGCCCAGCCCAGGTCAACGCCATGAGTCCCGGGGCCCGCCGCCCCCCAAAGCCCACGAGCACCGCGCAGCAGGCGCACCCGTCACTTGCGTGACCTTGGAGGCCATGCTGGCCAGACTGCAGCTCTCGGCGGAGTAGCCCGCGGGCGCGGCCACCGTCTGCGGAGGCGGCTGCACCGGCAGGTTCTTCTTCAGCATCTGGGCGAAGCTGGGCACCCGGGAGCTCGGGAACCAGTCGTTGTTGCCAGACATTTTCTCACCTGCAGGTCGGCGGCGGGTTGGCCCGAGCAGGGCGCACCCCCTGC